TCCCAACTTGAAAATTCACGTGGCTATTTTACTTGAGAAAGTGTTAAGAAAGTGCAGAAAAAAGCGACTGGATTTACAGTCCTCTAGTAACTAAACACCAAAGAAGGTTAAAAAAAAAAAAATTAAAATTGAAATCATAGCAAACGAAATGAAACTAGCAGAGTGGAAGAGGAGCGCCATTCCATTCTTTAAGACAATCCAGCATGGGCTGGACGATCTTCCCCTCACAGATCGCCGTGAAAACCTTATCGAACTCCTCGCCGGGAGACCTCACCTTTTCTCCGGTCAAAAACCCAGTTCCCAACTCTTCCCTCACAAGCTTGTACAGGGGATAAGACCTGCATTCCTTAATCCTGTTGGGGATTCCCGGATTTCCGCTTTCATACAACACTCTGGTATTCTCCACCTCACTCGGCAAAAGGGTCTTCAGTTCTTCCTCAAAAGCTCCGATCTTTTGGAAGATTGAGGTGTTTGCGTTCTTCTCGTTCTCGCCATTGGACAAGGCGTGATCGACGAGGACTTGGCGGAGTTTCTGCAACAGTGGGTAGGTGGCGCTGCAGGGGTCGTCAATGTAGGCGAACACGTGTTCGCAGTCCACCACACTGAGTAAACCCTTCTCGCAGAATCTTGAAGGGTGGAGTTCACCGTTAGCGCCGGTGGTTAGGACCTTCTTGGCCACCTGACTCACGATGTTCTTCACTGTGTTCTTCAGATTCTCTTCTAAATGCCTCAAATCAATGGCTTGGCAGAGTGCCACAAGGAAAGTGGAAGACATCAATTTCAAGATATCAACGGCCTCTGCAGTTTTCCTGGAGGAGATCAACCCCAAAGAATTGACATCTTGGTTGTGCTGTTCCGCGCTCTCGACATGGCTGGTGACTGGATTGGCCAAATATTGGAGCTCCGAACAGTACGAGGCCATTGCGATTTCAGCACCTTTGAATCCGTAATCCAAGCTAGGATCCCGGCCACCGGAGAGATTCGACGGGAGCCCATTGTTGTAAAAATCATTCACAAGCTCCGAGAATTGGGCAAACATCAATTTCCCGATGGATGCAATTGCCAGGCGGGAATTGTCCATGGAGACTCCGATCGGGGTACCCTGGAAGTTGCCACCGTGCAAAGCCTTGTTTCTAGAAACATCGATCAGAGGGTTGTCGTTGACAGAATTAATTTCTCTTTCAATTGATTTTGTTGCGAACCGGATCACTTCAATCTGGGGGCCAAGCCATTGTGGAGATGTCCTCAGAGCGTAGCGATCCTGCTTCGGTTTCTGCAGGGGATCCATTTCGTGCAATATCTCGGCGGCTTTGACATAAGAGCTACCATTGAGAATATGTTCCATTATTGCCGCTGCTTCAATTTGGCCGGGATGGTGCTTCAATTTATGAGTCAGATGGTCGGTGAATTCCGGTTTTCCGTTCATTACTTCAGCGAAAATTGCAGAGAGGATCTCAGATAAGACAGCAAGTATGTTTGCTTCGTAAAGGACAATTGAGGCCAAACCAGAACCAACTGCGGTCCCGTTGACTAAAGCAAACCCTTCTTTAGGCCGCAATTCGAAAAAGCCGGATTCGATTCCGGCTAACTGAAAGGCTTCTTGGGCAGTGAGGGATTCTCCATTTGGTCCCACAGACTTAGAATTAGGCCTACCGGTGAGCAATCCGACTATGTAGGACAGAGGAACAAGATCACCAGAGGCGGTGATTGTGCCGCGGAGTGGCAAGCACGGAGTGATGTTGTTGTTGAGAAGCTTAGCGATTGCCTCTAGAATTTCATATCTGATACCGGAGTAACCCTGGAGGAGGCTGTTGATCCTGACCAGCATGGCAGCTCTGGTGGCAGTGTGTGGCAGGGTGTGGCATGACTCTGTCCCATTTCCAAAGATCCCAGCATTCAAAACTCTGAAACAAAAAAAAAAAAAAGAAAAGAAAAGAAAAATCAGCTGATTTAGGTAAAACGATATAAATTCATTTATCATTTTTTTATACATCCTACCTAATAAAAAATTTAAATTTATGCCTAAAAAAACTAACTCGTCACAGTTGCATGGCAGAAAGGAAATTTAGAAATAATTTTTTTTTTTTTTTTTTTTGGGGTTTCATTTTGTTTGTACCTGATAAGTCCCTTTTGCAAGGCAGCGCCTTGTTTGGTCCGTCTATGAGAAGTGGCGCCAAACCCGGTAGTTATACCATAACTATCTATCCCTTTATCCATGCTGTTCATGACCCAGTCACTGCTAGCCTTGACACCGGCACGGGCGGCCTCTGACAACTCCACCTTGACAACCAATTCACGTGTAGCTATAGCGGCAACTTGTGATATGGTCAAGGTCTCGCCACCGAGCTTCACCAACGGCTTCTGATACTCAGCCACCATACGTTTCACTTCATCCAAATGGCTTCCACTAAGTGAGTCTGCCACACTACCCCAGTTGAGCGGGTCACGGCTGATGCAGAAAGAGTGATTTTGTAAGCTGTTGCCATTTCCATTCTCAACCATCATATCACTCGCCATATCTTCTAAGACAGTAATAAAATAAAGATTGGATTACCGGAGGAAAAAGGAGGGATATATAGATTGGATAGGGGAATTGTGGGTTTTCCTTTCCCTTCCTGTGAGAGGGGAGAGGAAGGGAAGGTGTATAAATAGGGAGGAAATGGGCGGAATAAGTCAGTGAGACGATAGGTGAGCATACGGAGAGGCAGAAGGAAGATGGCAGGGTTGATTGAGAAATGATCCAAGGGTAGAGAATGGGGACATTGGGGGTTGGGTTGGGGGATTGAGTTTGATTATAGCCGATGAAAGGTGAGGTGGCTGAGGTTAGAGGCAGGGGAAAGTGACAGAGAGGAAGGCGTGGTTTGTGGGACTCTGGGAGAAGGGGGATTTCGACCATATAGTCAACATGGGTTAGGTTTCGTTGTATCGATATATCATGTCCTTAATTATAGTATTATTTCTTTTTTGATGTGATCAATGTCCTGTGCTTATTTCTAAAATATCTACAGGCCCCATCTACATTTTATTTTAACCTATTATCCGAAAGAAATTCACGGCATTGACGCAGTTGTAATTCACCTAATGAGACTGTGTAAGAATCCCACCAACCCATTTAGTACATTTTCCTTTTCTTAGTTGTAATAAATTGACCACGCTAAAAATAAGTAATAATAATAATAATAAATCTATTATCTAAAGGATTTTGATTTATCAAGTTTGAAAAAATTAAAATGCTTTAATTACATTAGCATGTCGATGACAAAGTCGCAATGGAGTTTATATTAAGACCCATGGGACTGCATGCATTATGTTTCGATTTTTGAAGGGCTTAACTCATTTATTTTCTTAAACATACAAGTTAAGAGATTACTTTTTGTGCCCCATATTTCCTAAAATTTAGAGCTAAAATTATCTTAAAATTATGTTATTTTATAAAGTATTATATAAAAAAAGAAAAATCACTACTAAAATTCAAGTATTTAGCAACAATATATCAGCAATTTGAGATCCTTTGTTGTTGAAAATTTGTATAAGCAACAAGACTCACGTTGCTGAAAGTTGCATAGTACATTTTTTTCTTAAAAAGTTGCTCTACTTTTAGCAATATACTCCTTGTTGCTAAAATTCACTTTTAGCAACATACCCCATGTTGTTGATCTTTTTCGGCAATCATTTCCCCATCTAGTTGAGCTCCACTTTTAGCAAGATATCC